AATTTCATTTAAAGAAAAAAAATATCTATCTTTAATATTGTAGTTGAGGAGACGTCGAGAAAAATTTGAACTTTTGTAACTTTCAAAAAAAAAGCCATGTCAAAGTATTAAAACATTCTGACCTATGTCACCTTTAAAAGCGTATTTTAATTTATTCTTACAAATTTGAAGAAAAAATAAGGAGCCACTTTTGAGAAAATGTCCCAAGGGGATCTAAAGTATCCCGAAATTTTAAAGAATATTCTCCAAACTCGCTAACCTTTGAGACAGGCCAGATCGACCGGGGAATATTTATTATCGAAAAATTCGGGGAATTATTTAGACGCTCGTGTTCTCAGATGGTCAGACAGACCGACGTACTTTTTTGGAAGGGGAGGGGGAAATCATTTTCGGTAGCAGGGGCCCCGAAACATGCCTTTTCGTTGAATAATTTTTCGCAGCATGAAGTAACTTTCTCTATACAACGAATATTTCTCCATATATAAGTAGGTATATGAAAATGTAAAAGTAATGTTGTGATGCGAAAAATAGTGAAAGCATTATCTGACGAATTCAAGTCGGGCCACAAGAGAACTGCTCGCTCCTCCTACCACTTTCGGAATGCTTCCATTCCTCAAGGCGCCGGCGTGGCATGGGGCTGGGGGTATTGTATTTTGCCAACAATCACTATACGACGCGCCTATTCATCCCATTTGGACGATTGAGGGCATTGGATTAAGGAAGCACTTCGCCATCACGCTATAAGCTCACATTATTTAAATTTCTTCCCGGAACTATTCCCCAAAAAATTTCCAAAACTATTCTGCTAATTTTTTTCAAAGACATCGTGGTGTTAATTCTAAAATTAATACAAATCAAATGCCGATTACTGATTGAAAATCAGACCACTTTTTCAGACATTAGTAAAGTAATTTTGGCTTACTTTGGTGCTGCTACGTGGTGGCAAGAAATTGTAGTGTCGGTATATTTAGCCTTAATGAAATCAGTTCAAAATTAATACTCTACAAGTCAGGAACACATTAAAAAATGTATTTGCATAATTAAGAGAAACTGTCGCTTTTGAAAAACAAAAAAAATGTTGACAAGATTTTCTCAAAAACTGCTCCAAACATATTTTTTTTTGTTTTGTTGGAAGAGAAAAAAGTTTGAATAGTAATAAACTGAGGTCTGACTTTCTTGAAAACCTCTTGAATTTCAAAATTTGACTAACTGTTTTGTTTTTTTCCCAAACTTCGTACATCTTTAATGTTGAAGCTACAGATTTCTTTCTTAATGCAATCTATTCTTCAATTTCAGGCATTTAAATCCTTTCATCAATCAATCATTTCAGTGAATCTCTTAGCTTGTCATTTACAGAATTTGGGTGTGAATCCTGGCCTATCTACACTTGCTTTCTTTACTCTTTTTTTTATAAGAATATAGCACAACAGAGAGACTTAAATATCAGAAAGTGTTTTTTATATGACTGTAAATGTTAAGTCTAGAAGTTGCAACATTTTAACACTAGGTTATCATTACCAATAATACAAGAAAGTATGTGCTGTTGTAGCTTCATGAGTTGTTGATGGCATGTTGAGGGCATTAAGAAAGAAGACTGAATTTGAAAAAATACATCTGTAGAAACATTACACCATCCTTTTTCACATTAATTTAAAATCATATTCTTCCACATTATTTAAAAATAATGATCTTCATTAATGTAATATATTGTTTTGTTTTTGTGAGACAGAACAGAAAGTATGTTAGTTGAATAATAAGGAATCTATCCATATCCATAATCTGAACAATATACCTATCATACTTGTGCACCACCCAATGCATTCCATCTATGATACAACTATTAAATTTTAGAATATCATTGAATCTTATTGCTGCCAAGTGATTCATGCTAAAAGTTAAATGTAAATCTTTTTCAGATTTTAAAATGGATGAGTAAAAGTACTAGATTCCTTTAAGAAAACTATATTTTAACTTTACCAGACAGACAAGCTACATAAGGCTCTCCAATTTACTTGGTAATACTGAAAAAAGTGGAGTGAATCTTCAAGAAAGAAAAAAAGTAAAATACCAAGTAAATTTGGAAGTCTCTCAAAATATATTTTGGCTCTATTACACTGCATAACATTTCCTTTGCAATAGGTGAAGAATAAGGTACAGAGTATAAATACGATAAATACCATCATTGAAAAAGTTATATATTCACAATTTCGCAAGTTTTCCTATCAAAAACCATTGTTTCTAAAAAATTATAATTATCACCTACAATAAATTTCCTTTTGGCAATTACTCTGAACAATATTTAGGGCAGTCTTCTGAAAATTGTTTTACATGTAGAAAATCTACTGAATAATTATCACTAGAAAATTCATTGAATTCATTGAGAATAAATCACATATTTTAATATCACTGAAAAGTACCACATACAATGCAGCAGAGCCAACTCTTAAATAAATTATGTTATCTTATAATGCAAGTAATAATCACAAACCTCAAAATTCATTATAAAAAGTAACAAGGAAATGGAAAGATCTTGGCTGATGTACAAAAATTTTTCATTTCCACAATACATTACAATGTCACTTATTTATACTACAGTATAAAATTGAAAGAACTTTGCATTTCCTGGTTCACATGTTCAAAGCGTATCACTGAAATACTGTATTTACCTGCGTATAGGCCATATATACACCTCAAATAGACATTCTAGATTCTGTGAAATTAAGAAGCTTACCTTTAGTTTGAAGCACAATTTTATGGTACTATCAGCACAAACAATAAATTAAAATGTGTGAATGTGATGCACTATTTAAAAAACAACTGGTAAAACTATGTTAATTTTGATACAACCTTCCATTAAAAATAGAGTACATGAACCACTAACAACAATCCTGTGAAAATCACTGCTTTTTTTATACTGTAAGCTAAACATAACATAAATACTATTTCAACAAATAAATGTATCTTAGAAAATACACATAGAAACCATATTGACCTTGCAAAATAATATATCAAATATTACAGAAAACAATTTTGTGGAAACTGTTCCAAACTATTTTAGCACCAAAATGCTCTTTTACAATACATCACCAAAACTGGGAATCTTTTTCTCAATGTGCAGTAAATCTGTAGAACATATTACCATTACACCTTATGGATACAATCAAACTATATTGTTAGTTAACAATATCAACATAAAGAGAGATCTAAAAATTAACTTTTCGATGTTCTATTATGGTGAAATCAAATTAACCAGATGAGTAACAGTATCAAAATACTTTAAAACCTCAATTCTCTATCATGGTGAGAGGCACAAGCAAGGTTACTAGGGCTCCATTCATGCCACTAATTCATAAATAAAAGAGAACTTTAGGAATACAATCAAATAATTTAAAAAAGGCTGTCAATCAAATAATTTCAAGTAATTTAAAAAATCATTGATAAAATGATTGATAAACATACTTAAAGGTATTTTACTCGTTAATGTGAGACACGTGAAACACACTAATACCAATTCCTTGTTCATGGCACTTTCTCATTGCAACTGAACATTTTCTCTTCACTACTTTACAAACGCATTCTTAAGATAAAGTATTATATTTCCTGACTTAATATCAGGTATTGCTGAACAGATATATCAGTTCATTTATCCAAGTTTCATTTTACATAAATATGAAAATTTTATGAATTTCAGGGAATCGGTGGATTTTATTCATTTCTAGAAAGGCCATTTTACTACTTTGACGACATGAAATGCATTAAAACCTTAAGAGACTATAGTTTCTTGTTTGCTTACCAGCCTCTTAAAACTTTTAGACAAATACTTTTTCACCCAGTATATCAGCAATATTATCAATGTAATAATAATTCCTCCAACCACAAGAAATATAATGTTCATGAACTTTCAGCATCCTGCATTCATTGTTTCATATGTTGACAAATAACACTCATTTATGTTACAATTTAATAATCAGTCAAATAAAGTTATAAATAATTTTTGAAAATACATCCTCCAGGTAATTATAATAATCTAAAACCTGAAATAAATACGTGCTTTTAGAACACAGTTAAAACCTATGATAAATTCTCGTAACATTCAAAACAGCAAAATTACTTTGAGTTTAGTGCAAATTTATTGCTACAGTTTATCAGTGAATAGAGGGAAAAAGTTTATGTGCAAATTGGATTCGAGAGTTCACCTGTCTATTAAGATCCATTATGACAGTTCATAATTGTGAACAATATAAACATTTAAAGCAAATAATCAAGCCAAAATTAGCAATCTCGTAATTGAATCAGTTATTTTTAAAAACCTATAAGTCACTCTCTTTAGCATTTTAACTTTTTGTGAGAAAATAGAAGTTGTAGGATAGAAGCACCGTTCTATGTGTAAATCAGATGAATGGAATGGGTGTGAGGACACTGCAAAGTTTGGTTTGGTTTTGAAACTGCAAGTCCTTGACTTGTGGGGTATGTATGCATTGTATACAGGGTGAATGACTGGGATGTCACTCACAGAGAGATGTTAAAAGGAATGTTCAATACAGAAATATTCCTATTGGGTCGTCCATAAATTACGAAACGCTTAAGAGGGGAGGGGGAGAGGGTGTTGTATGTTGTTACATAGGGCTAGGGGTGTCATAGTTTAGTGTTATGTGATGCTGATATTTATTTTTCACATCTTTCAACATTTGCTGAAATATTTTTTTTTATTCAGTCTTATGCTAAAACATTTTTATTCAAACAAATTAAATTAAAAAATATAATTAATGAAAAAGTTATTTTCTATTAATTGTTACAATAAACGAAAATAATTTTTCATCAATGATATATTAATTGAATCTACTGGATTACAAGGAAAATACTGAAAATGAATCATATTTGATGTAGATGCACCTTATTTCACATATTGAAATAAATGTGTCAAATTACAAACTGAACCTGCAATGTGTATTTATTTACATGTTTAGGTAAAAATTTTCTGATTACCTATCCTTAAGTTTCTGAAAACCAAAAGTCAGAAACTTTTAAAAAAGTCCAATCACTATTGTACTATTGATAGTAAATATATGTATATACGATATTGTGGTGAATTACATGTCTCCATGGCATTTTTAATCAAGATTTAAGAAACAGAAATAAAAAACAGAAATTAAGTTACACATGCACTTAATTATTAAGTTTTCTAGTTTTCCCACAACTTTACAATTCATGACTTGCAGGGGTTTTAAAAACAACTGATTCAATTGCAGACTAATATTTGTTGAATCTTTCATCAATATATATTTTACATAGTGTTTCTAAACCTTTTAGAAGTTGAACATTACTGTACTTATTCCATTTACTTACAATGGTGTGCACAATCTTTAATTAGTGAATATGTTTACAAGTTTCATTGCAGCCTGTATGCTTCTAAGAGACAAAAGAAGTCTTGTTTAAATAATGAAGCAACTTTACTACCTTAAGTAATATATTCAGTTCTGAGGTTCAAAATAATGATTGTAATAATATCATATAATCAAAAACCGACATGAAACTCACTGATGAAATCTACACATGAAATATAACAGAATGAAAGAAAGTATCATACATGATACTTCATTATAGAGTTCATATCATCATTGTATCCAATGATAATATGTATTCATATTATCATTGCATCATTAATATCTACTGTTTCACTAAGGAAATCACTAATGATTGATACACAATGGGAAACTAGGGATAAATAGACAGGCACACAATTAATCACATTGTGTTGAATTCCAAGTGCCTAACTTTTCTTCCTCTTTAGGGTTTTGTTCAACAATTGAAGAGTTGGATGAAAGAATGACTTAACACCAGTTATGGCATTTTTCATTTCATGGCTTGTGAACTTCATTAGACTTCCATGTAAATGAATAACTTTTTAGAAGTTCATGTGAATGACACTAGTATACAGAGAACAAAGGATTTCGCACGAGCCATTTCTCCATCAATCTGCTTGCAGCATTTGTCACTACCTACTTCCATGTGAATTCATTGTGCTGGCTATAGTTTGGTCAATCTTTATAATCTAATTTTTTACTACTACACTCAAAAGTTTTAATTTTGATTTTTCTTGTGTTGCTTATATTCTAGCAACAATTATTGTATCGGACAAATGTTGATGAGAGACTAGAGAGAACATTATACTGCCACTAGTTTTCAATCCAATTTAAATTGAACAAAATTGAAAATGAACAAAAATTAATGTCCCCCCCCCCCAAGTCATGTTACCTACTGATGAACGTAATATGGTAAAATAGCATGTGAAGACTAAAATTATTTTTCTCAAGACTGTATTTTTGGGGTAAAGCCACTCTTACATCCCACTCTTCTAGCAAAGAAGTTTATTTCAAAATTTAAACACAGCAAAAATTCCTTGTATTGTAAAGTTAAAATCTTTTGTTTCTCTGCTATCTTAACAAAAACTTTGGAAGATTTTGTCACTATCTTATTACACATGAAAATCTACATAACACAAAGATAAGGCAATATTAGTATTGTGCAAGTCTTGGGAATACAAAACACAAAAAATAAATAAATAAAAAATTCAGCATGATTCAATATACTAACAATGAGCTCAAGAACAATGCAACTAAAAGTTAATGAACTATTAGACACTTGTATCTATACATTGTACCAAACTTCTTTGGGCATGACATCTGAGATACATGTGATGACATCGACAATGGTTTCCTAGTGACACAATAACAGCAGCTTTACCACTGATATTATCTACAATTGTTGCCACCAACTTGGAATGGATAATGATGGGAATCGAGTGTTGAATCAACCGAGCATTTATGATGCCAATATCACAATATCACATCATTAAAAGTATCCAGACAATATCAGTATCAGACTGAAATACATTATTTTCTACAAAAGTTCATGCATCGCCCATATTGTAAGGGCAGTAAAGCATGGCAACATTGACTCTGCCAGGGCTAACTATCAAGAACAGAAAGAAGAATGGTACAACGTATAGTGTATTGCACAGGCTTTGAATGGGTCTTCATATTTTCAAATCTAGAGGTTTACAAACATTATTTCACTCTGTAAAAAAATAATTTCTGATATTCACATTCCATAGAAGCTTGTGGTTATCAAAGAAGGCATACTTCTAATACGGCCCTTGCAATTATTGTACAAGAATTAATTATTCACTATGTTCACACACTTATGTTCTTCACCTTCCATGAAGTTAAAAATTTTATTTTTAAGTTAAGAAGACATGCAATGATGCTGACAAATCACAGTGGTCATGAACATCACTAGTTAGATGAATATGATTAATTCAAGAAGTATTGCTTATTTAAATGAATTTTATTTTGAAAATAAAGTGAAATAAAAACAAAAAGTTTTTGGCCTATACAATAAACTTGGAAGAATTTCAATGAAAAAACAATCTGTCAGAAAATTAATAGAGCCATAGGATGAAAATAATAGCTAAGAACTGAATGAAGGCTGGTGTAAATTAATTAGGAAAGTTACAGTAAACCTAGTACTCCACATCTGGTCTTTCTAATTTTATCAGTAAAAAATTGTTCAAAGACATCTGACAGTATTATGAAGACCAAAACTTAAGTATTAGTAAATATCAATCAACAGCCAAGGAACATTTAATAAATAATTAAAACCTATTTCTTGTACTTTTCTCACTTTAATATGAAATTATAGTGAGGATGGGCAAATGGTAAGGGGACCCCTTTTCATTTTCAATAAATGCTTGAACAGTCACATATCAATGCCATTCCAGTACTCAAAGAATACCAAGAGGGGAGGTGAAAGGGGCAACACCAGACCCACAAATAAATTGCAATATAACTGAAGAAAAATTTTAGATATTCAAGAACTAATAATTCATGAATTTACCAATATACCACAATAATTTTCTGCATATTTGGTTAAAATAATTTCACATATATATTTTATTTTGAACATTTTCTGTACTAGCAGTCCTTTCCGTGAAGACACAGATAGAGACATCCTCTTTGTAAAGAACAGTTATAATATTCACAATGTTTCGACTGCACAACTGTTGTGCACATCAACAGACACTAAAATGAGATTTTAAGATGATTATGAGCAGGCGCCGCTGCAAGCAAATGCTGTAGTTTCAAAGTTATTATGCATGGTGACCGTTTCGAATTATTTGTAAACATCCCCAACATGTTGGAAAAACTGAACTATTGCTAAGGGTTCAGAAAGATTCTACACAAAAAAACAAAATGGCAACTTCTTACCAAAACAAATTCATGGGGAAAAAACTAATGCTGGGGTCTGTTGTTGATTCCCAACACCACCACCAGTACGAGACTGTTAGCAATACTTCAAAGGCCCATTTCGATGTCTAGATTACATTGAAATGTAAGGTTTTCCCCAAGATCTTTAATACATAACATAAATATATGCACTTTAAACACACAGTTATCTATGCAATTTGATTTAACAGCTAGAAATGTGAATCTGTGTTATTCAAGGGAGACAAACGTAAAAAAATGATTGGATGGCAGCAATATACACTTTTGTTCATCTATGCAAATGAGTTTTTCCAGAACATTTAATTTAAAGTTAACTGCATTTTATATTTTTTATTATCAATACAGAAGGAAAGACAATTTCTCTATTGGAGTGTGTGTGTGTGTGTACAAATAAATATATGTATATACATACACATCAATACAAGAATTTAGAGAAACATTTGTACCACTCAAACAAAAAATAAACAAAAATTCCAGGATCAAAATTAATTTGGCAGCCTTTGTGGCTAAACTTATTCACAGACAATTTTTATCAAATTGTCAGAATGAAACTCCTTTTAGTTCAGTATTAACATCACCGTGAAAGGAAAAACAATATTTTCCATTTCCCCAGAAGAAGGTACATTTATTTTTCTTGTTGGAGTACTTAGAGAAAATTACTACTTTTATAAACAATGACATTAGAAATATATAACTTTCTTTCTCATTTATCTTTTCTGGGTGTAATCTAGACAAATCAATTGTTCCTTTGACATCACTCATGAAATATTTGTCTATCACACTGCACAAGTGCAGAAGATGTCTACTTTGAATTCACAAAGATAAGGCGAGGGATCAAGAAGGGAAAGGGGAAGGGGTCAGCCAACCAGGAATTACTCAATTGCAGTTTGTAACCCATCTTATAAACATGCAATACATTAAAAGATTTTATAAAAATCTCAAGTAAATACAGCATTTATTTATGTATATATTTGAATCTGAAATGCGAGCAACCACCTTGACAAAAAAATTTCAAGGGATCATATATTCTCCTTAGAATGCAGTGACATTCCATATCTTTGTATTGCAATCTTGTCCAACAGATATCAATGTTTCATCATCCAACCAAACAAGGCGTGTGATCTGACTTTGTGGGTGAGCATCTGAAACAAAATATAAAAGAATATGTTACAAGAAAACAGGCACAGCAATGAATCACAAACTTCAAATCTCCTGTGCTTTGTGCCTCACATTGAATTTCGTGATTAGCCCATGCATAAGTGTACACATCAGGCAAACCCAAAAAGTAACAAAAAGATTCCATTCTAAAACCCTAATCAAAAAAATACAAGACATCATTCCCACAAGCCAAGTAAATCCAGGCTATACTCTCCAATTCAACAAAAGGGGAGAAATCCTCTCAAGAAACAGTCCTGGCAATGATCACCTCTGAAAGCAATATTATCCTGCCAATGGATGCGTTGGGTCTGAGAGACGTAAGTGGTAATATGGATCTGCTAGTGACACGCAAATGGCACCAGATACCTCTTCCTGCTACATTCGATTTGTTTGAAAATGTAATTGAGTATGCCAGTTATTGTTGTGGAGGTTGTATACGCGATTTAATGTGCATTTCCTTTTTGTGTTTGGGTCTGTGAAACCCAGTTGATATAACTATGTATTAAGGTTATGTAATTATAAATTAATACATAGTTACACCACACAACTCGTGTTAGTACACCTGTACAACTTGCATAATAATGGAAATGTTACATACATAAAGTTAGGGGGAGAATTATACTCTGGGCATGTTTTCTCGAGTTCCAGAATCATTACCTCACCCTTTTAATATGCATCAATAGTTAAATGAAATACCAACAGTGTGGATAAAAACTTTTCAAAACTAGAAATGTTTACAGAGTAACTAACTTACTTGCAATGGTAAAGTAACACATTTATCACATTCCAACAAAACAGCAACTCACGCCCACAACCCTACTTCAACTTCATAGAAGTGTATTTAAAATCTTTGCGTCTAAAATTTACATTAGATTATAAAATACACATCCAAAGTAAAGTTTTAACATGTAAATTGTTCAAAAATTACAAAGGTTACATTTATTAAGGCACCAAAGTTTTAATGAAAATGGCACTTGCATCATAGAATTTAATTTAGCATGCTCTATCCCTACAAAATGTTTAAAGAAAAAAATGGAGCAATTTTGATAAATTTCTGGCCCCGAATCTGTACAAAATTGCCACAGTTCACTCAAAATTACGAAGGCAAAGAAAAAAAAAGGCTATTCTGATGGGCTTTAAGAAAATCTTTAAGCTACCATGCTGCATCCTACGAATGTTCAGACTGTCACAGTCTCATAAGCGTAGCGCACATTTCTTTAATCACAAAAGGTGGCAGAATTCCCCCCTTCCTCGCGTCCATGGTGAGATCTGGTTCCCACCCAACTGGCAGCTAGCTTGTTTTCTCAATTCAGGCATCTTCCACAAGAGGATCACTGCTCCAGCTGAGATGTGCTTAAGCTCCCGACTGGTCTTCCTACAGGTGTTGTAGTGTAGTGTATATATGTGCAATTCTGTGAGAAATGGGTGAGGATAGGACACTGAAGAAGAAGAAGAAGAAGAAGAAGAAGGAACAATTGTGTGCCACCTGTGTCCTGTTTGTTAGAGTACGGCTCCGACATTTCCCTGGTATTGATCAGGGAAACCACGGAAAAGATCAGAGCAACCGGCCGCTAGAATTCTCTTTCAGAAAGTGTCTGAATTTGACCTATCTACCTAATGTCAAAAATTCTGACACTGTCTCAACTTGAACCTCACAGTCAGAGGCTCTGCAGTGACATCTGTTGATGTCCTCAACAACCTCATCCAATAGAGGAGAGGAGAGGAGAGCAAGAATGAGTAAGGAAAGATGGCGTGCGCTCCATGGTCCGTATGTTACGGAGATGCTCCAGCATTTGCCTAATATTTATAGAATCTACTGACACCTAACGATCAGAGCAGCCATCCAGTAGAATTCTCCTCAAGACAGCAGTGAATTCAATCTAGCATTACAGCTAGTGTCAAAAATCCACCACTGTGAGGACTTGACCACTGAAACCTTCCAGTCACAGATTCTGCAGCAATTAGTGGTTGCACTGAGCCATCTCAGCCGGTATGGAAAAAAAATATTATGAAAGATTATTTCTATTTTACCCACCCATATAAATTTCCACTGTATTTCTGCGGTAACCACAGAGTTCATTCAGCATTTGTGAAACATCAAGGCCTAACAGCAACTCACCTTCAATGAACATACAAGACAGGGGTAGATAAAGCTTCACAGGTGACTGGGAAACTGACCATGTTTGTGGTCAATGTTCAAGGACAGAGATAGAGCAAATGGCAGCTAATCCCCTATGTGACCTACTCTATGTATGAATTGAAGATATGAGTAATCGCAATTTCAAGGCAACTACACTGGCATATTCTCCATGCGTTATGGCAGTGATGCACCATTTACTTTGTTCTCTGCTTTCTCCAGCAATGACACTATAAATCACCACGTCTAACCAAAATCAAGTCTTTACTGCTTTCTAAGAAATAATTAATATTACATCACAATATTGAAGGTTGTGGTTTACAACTCCCCAGGTGTTTCGACTAGCAAAATACATCAAACTCAACTGCCAATTTCATCCAAGAAGGGGCAGACATTGACCGAACTTGGAGATTGTGTTCTTGTTGAAATCCTGGATCTGTGAAATGTCCTACTCATGCATACCTTCCTCATAACCAAACACACACACACTGAGTGCTTGAAGACGTTACCCAAGAGTTGAGAGGGCGCAAGGACTTGGCAGGCCTCTTGTATCCACATTGCAATTTATTTTGCTTACATACTTTATTTTTAACAGTCACCATGGTCATGAACTGAAATGTACTCCACTGAATTCACTGACTGTACCTGCCCCTCCCCCCCTCTAGATGCTGGAAAATTCATTTCATAACTCGGCAACACTGCTCTTACTCTCAGAAACATGTGCTAGAACAGATGAAGCTGAAGAACACAATCCATCTCAATTTAAAAATAAAATCAATCTATGTCAGGATCCAAAATAGAATGTGTATTCTAGAGCATATCCAATAGAGAATAAGCAGGTTTAAATTAAAATTATTTGTGACTAATTACTCTCTACATTAGTAACAGAGGAAAGATTTCAATTATGAGAAAACTAAAAACACATTTTTTGGATAATATCACCTCTTGTTTGTGAATGTCTAAGTGTACGAGAACTCATAGCAGCTTTGGGTAGTTTATGTTGTACAATATAAACAGTGAAATATTTTTTGTGTAGGTTCCAGCATTTTTAAAACAGAATTAATTTCAACTGTTTTTCAGCTGAATTAATTCAACTGTTTTTCCAGTAACCCAAATCTCTATTAGAAAATAGAGTTGGAAGCATTGGAAGACTTTTAACTTCAATTTGCTAAATATATAAAAATAACTAAAAATTAGTTTTGCGATATGAAAATGATAAAATGTTGCCATTTTCACACTTACTCTTTATTATTGTATGTTTAGCTGGACTTTGCACACTCCAAATGATGATAGTGGTATCCAAACTTCCACTAGCCACAAGAATTGAATTAGGAGACCATGCTACACTGTTAACTCTTGCATTGTGGAATCCCCACTCCTTGTTGTGAGCGAGCTGCAAACAACAGTAATCTAATATTATTTCCTAATCTATTATTTTTCATTAATAGTTTAGAATAAACAAATTAAAATTTATTTTAATCATAAAAATTAAATATGCAGGAATAATTGAAGTGTAGTAATACTTACTGTCTAATCAAAATCCACAGAAAGCATTTTTAAAAGAAAAAGAAAATAGTATAAAATATAGTTTTATGAGGGTTATGTTTGTTAATACACAATTAAACTGTTAACTTACCTGGTACTCTGGAACTTTATATAAAATGACTTTCCTGTTTGCATCACAAGCTACTAGATACTTATTATCAGGTGAATAAGAACAATCTGTTACAGGTCCAAGATGTTCTAGCTCAGTCTTAGGGCTCAGAGTTGTGCCAGCCAAACTGTACACATGGATCTACAACACAAAAAATACATAAAATCTTAGCATTCGTCGATTGCACAAAGATAATCTGGATGGAACTAGAGATGGGTATAACAGATTGGCAAGAACTATACAATATCTTTTGCAGGCATTCAACATCCAATATACCAGACCTAGCGATGCTACTTTCTTGCATTATTTGTAACGGTTATCTTCAATATTGTAGTTTTGAGGAGATGACAAGAAAAATTCAAACTTTCGTAACTTTCAAAAATTCGAAGATATCAGTAAACAACAGACTTATGCCATTTGAGAAGCGTATTTCAACCTATTCTTATAATCAATTTAAAGAAAAAATATGTACCCATTTTTGAGAAAATTTAAAAAATGCCCAAGGAGCTTCAAATCCACATTCTATTTTTGGACCAGTGGTACCAAATGCATTAAAGTGTCCTCAAAATTTTAAAGAATTTTTTTCACTCTCTAAGCTTTGAGACTGACCAGATTGGCCGAGAAATATTCATTTTCACTAAAATTTTAGGAATAGTTTAGGCATTATTGTTCACAGATGGACTGACAAACGGAAGTTTTGGAGGAAAAAAACAAACACTTTTTCAGTGTCAGGTGGTCCTAAAACAAGCATTTCCATTGAAATCTCGAAATCTATTTTTCACAGCATTACATTAGCATTACACTTTCTTTATACTGCCTATATTACTCAGTATATACGTACATATACGAGAACGTAAAACTAACGTTGAGATGCGGAAAATGGCAAGGGAATTATCTGATGAATTCGTTGGACCAGAAAAGAAATGCATGCTTGTCAGACTTGCAGGCTCACTCACGTCGCTGCTTCTGTGCCCCTTGCAGTCGCCCTGAGGAGGCTGCACACACGGCGGTGTGATATGGGGAAGGGAGGCATTACGTTTTGCCAAATTTCACTTTACAATGCACCTATTCATCAGATTTGGGCAATTGATATAGCATTGGATTCAGGGAGCATGTCATATTTGCGCTATGAGCCCACATTTTTTTATTTCATCGCGGAAGAATGAGAGCAATTTGAAACAAAAAAATTGGAAATCTTTATTTCAAAAAAGGATTTGTAGCGTAGTTTTACATTAAATTATGAATCAAATGCCGATTACGGATTAAAAAATCAGACCATATGTTCAGAGTTTGTGATATATAAAGTAATTTTGGTGTTACTATGTCGTGACGACAAATTGAAATGTTTCGATACATTTCACCACCCAAAAAAGTGGATTTGCATTAGCAATTTTTAAAAATTCAGAAATTTTCATTTTTATTATTTTAAAATCTATTTTTAATGAAAAGATTTCATTAAGGAAAAAAATCTTGTCATCAGAATTGTAGCTCTTCAATGATAGACTTTGACTCAGGGAAAAATACTAACACTTTTCTAACCTGAATATTCTTAATTATACAGTAAAACTTCACGACATTGCCATTCCCAAGTTATGGAAAACGTATTTGCATCAGTAAACAAACTGCAAATTTTATTTTATTTTTATATTACTAACAAAATAGTAACACCTCTCCGGCTCTACTACTACCACTATCACCAAACTGTGAAGCTACATTTATGTCCTGAGGCAAAACAAGGGTCCATCTCAGCATTTGCTCAGTAGATCACGACAACTGGACAAAAACTTGAATGAGACCAGAAGCTGACATACATTACTTGTTACTAAGAAGACACATGGGCCAGGCATAGGCACGCCTGGTGGGAAAGATAGCACTGATATTCACACTGTATGAAGACAGTTCTTTAGGCCTCTGTCACAATAGTGTTGCGGTGATGTGCGTCCTCTACCGCTGATGATGTCAGCTGCACCGATGCCAGCACACACGAGTCTGTTAACACGTGCTGTAAATTAACACAATCTTACGGCACATGAGCAGCCTTGGCGATGTGTGTTGTGTCCACAGCTCAAGCTACAACTACAAGTCATGATAACATGTGTTTTCTAGCTTTCAACACAAAGACCCCTAGGTGACGTGTGGTGGCAGCACTCATGTGCCGTGTCGCATAAGAGAAAATGTTACTCTACGATGCGCATTACGCGACTCGTGTGCGGAGACATCGACACAGCTGACGTCATCAGTGTTAGGTGATGTGTGTCAGAGGAATGTTCTTGTATCATAGGCCAAATTGCCACTATAATTCTTTGATTCCTTCAGTTTCAATATTGCCTTTAAATGTAACACATTTTGATCGTGAATATTGTTGAACTTTATGCAATGCCGCACTGTATGACACTAGCGCCCCTATTTCTTCATACTGTAGTTTTGTCCAAAATTTCAAAATGAAGAGTTGGAACCAAAAACCAAACTAAACACAAAATATACAGAGTTTCACTGTAATTGCTTAAAATGCATGTCTAAGAATTACACAAAATTATGAAAAAGGATAGTTAAGAGCATGGGATTTGCAGAATAAATTAGTGCCTCAAGAGGAAAGTTAGCATTTTAATATAGAAGCATTAACCCTAGATTACAAAGGCATCGTCTGTCAGATGATGCAGCTAGTGCCGAAGCTTTCCCCATCCCCTCACCCTTCTCTCACTCCCAGCTTGTGAAACGGTATACCTTCAGTGCATGACTAGCCAGTAAAATACACAAATCGTTGTGCTCCTGCCTATTTCCGGTAAATGCTGTTTTAACACGCATCATTCAACAGACTACACCTTTGTAGTTGCATCAGTGGTACTTTTGGTGCTTTGCTGGCTAATGTTGTAAATGATGAATACAAAATTCTTGTCTTGTAGAATTTAAGTTTTATACTGAACATTTAGCAATCATAAAGATATGATGGCGATCATAACAAAGGTCACATGATTTACTTCTGAGGATGCTCCTCAAAAGCCATGTGTGAACAGCAACCAAGCAAGAGTCTGCTGTGAAAGTCGTCATTTAGGTGTATCTATTATACCCTTTAAAATGTACTTTACAACTCCACACATGTTCAATCCATAAAATTTAATGTTTCATTGTAAAAATGAGTTTTCATTATTTTTACCCCAAGTAGTCTGGTAGACTACCCCTTTGTAATAATGCTTAGTACAGGGACTATTGCAATTTAGGATTAAAACACATTCAAACCTCACCTTGTTATCTGCAGATCCTCCCACAGCTACATCCAGAGTTTCAGCATTTACAGATACACATGATGGTTCATAATTCACTGGTAAGGTAGAAACTTTACGGCCACTCTGGACAACAGTGATCTGTAAGGAAAACAAATTTGTACTTAAGCAAACATTTATTTGACAAATTGCTACTAAAGAAAACGTTTATTTGACAAATTTGTACTTAAGAAAATGTTTATTTGACAATCACGAAAAGTTCTGACAGCAAGTGTTTCTACCTCTTTTACAGATGCAGTAACAATAGTATCATCTTTTATATCCATTCCTCTAGGCTGAGAACCAAGTTTAATGTCAACAGATGTGTAACTTTTAGAGCCAATGTCTATCTGCTTGACACTATCATCAATTCCACAAGTATACAGAAAGTTTCCCACTGCTTTCATTCCATTTATTTGATTTCCATGACCAACTCCTTGAATTCTATCATTTTCACCTGAAAAATAAACACAATTTCCATAATAATAATAATAATAATAATAATAATATAAAAAGATATGAGCTTCAACATTTATCAGGCATCTCCAGAAAAAAAATCCAAAGTAATCTAAACTTCTCAACTGAAATGAAGATTATATTTGTGAACACTAAAAAACTAAAATGTTTTTTTCATACATAAAAGGGCTCACTGATATAAAAAAATGCACATGCTTCAAAGCAGTACTTCTAACTACAGACATTTGCTTCCATACAAGTATTATTTCACACCAGAATGATCAGCTTAAGTTTTGAATTAGACCATTATTAAGAATACAAAACATGTTTCTACAGTCAAGAAAGATTTATGTTTCTAGTAGTGATTATAAGGGAAAATAGAGCAACATGTGCTGTATCTGCTACAATAAGGTTTTCCCATGAAATTGTGTTTTCTTTTTGTTGACCTAGAGAAACCACTAACTTCCTGAATGGACCTTATAATAAGCATAATTATGATACTAAATTGACATTAGGTACATAATTATTAAGACTATTATACTCATGAAATTAAAACCAAATTTATTTAAAACCATTATTTTACAAAATACATACACAATGCTAGTGGCGTAACTAGCCATTCCAGGGCCCAGGTTCAACAAGTAAATTGCAAGCCCCTCAAAAACTTTTGCCCAACTAAAAAAATTGAGCTGAAAACTAATTGAAAGAATCTTCATTACTCATAATCAATCACATAAATCAGAATCTACCTCTGCAAACTTTCCCTTTGACGAACTTATGCAAGTTCACCGTTCGCCATAGAAAAATTAGGAGCGTTTTTTGAGAATTTTTTTTTTAATGCATAAATTTCAAGCGTAAATTACTTGAAAACTACTAGTTTATTTTCAAAAAATTGAACATGAGCTTTTTTAAAAAGGTGATTTTTATACAACACATTTTGAGGAATGAAACTCTATATTCTATTATGTAGTTTTGAAATGTTAACATTTTGCAAATTTCGAAAAAAATGGAGAAATGACGGAAAAAAGGTCTACCACCAATATTTTACAGTCTTTTATTACATATGTAGAATATATTTGGAGCAGTTTTTAAGAAAAAATATTCAATTTTTTAAAATTCTCTTAATTTTGCACAAAATTACATTAAAACTACTCATTTTTGAAAATTTGAACATGAACGTATATGAAGATCCATCTTTAAGGAACAAACTTCATTAAAAATCTCTATCTTCAATTTTATAGTTGTAGGAAGACAGCTCACAAAAACTTGCACTTTTGCAATTTTCAAAATCCAAGGAAATACAACTTGCATCATTCTCTTAAGCGTCCTTTGTGCTATCTAAGGACAAAATTTAATTTAAAAATTGGTACCATTTTTGAGAAAATTTTGAAAATGTTTTGAGGCTTCTGGTAAGATACCCTCAAAAATCAAAATATCCATTTGAAACTCCTAAAGTCTCATGTTCATTCAGATTGATTGCGGAATATCAAATTTGAAGACAATCGGCAGAACGGTTTAGATGCTAGTGTTGACCATAGATGGACGGACAGACATTTTGTCTTCAATTGTCATTTTTCAGTATCAAGAATCCACAAAACTTGGATTCTGGCGGCAGCACATGTCAAAGGATTTTTTTTCTAAATTTAGCAACAGGATTAATCCATTTTTTCATTAACAGGACCTGGCAATAAGAGTTTTTCTACCAAAAATTTACATTTTTCTAGTGCAAGATTACTTAACTTTCTCTTCTTACAAAGTACCTCCATAAGGGCAAGAAACTAAAAAAAGATCACTCTGCAGTACCAAGTGATATGAGAATCATCAGAAAGAGCAAGATTACTGAGCAGTGGTCTGGAAAGCTAGCTGAAAGAGGGAACTACTCAATCAGGATCAAGTTAGCAAACTCTTGCGAAGAGATGAATCTTTGAAATTCAATCTCTCAGACAACTACACAAGGATAATAGCTGGGATCAGTTAGGTTGTCTTAGTAATTCTCGCTGAATTTTTCACATTGATTGGCAAGTTCATTGTCTGAAAGCTGCAACAAAGTTTGTCGTTAAATGGGTGCAAACGAATCAATTATTTGATTCAAGCCATTTAAACAATGGCTCAGCTCACTAATCACAAAATCTAAACAAGCAAAGTAAATATTAACTTGGAATCATCCTCCCTCCCCTGATAAACGTTGATCTTTGCACCATTCATTACTTTTACACCCCAAGATGTAGCCAACTCTATTGCATCGGATTTGGCTTTGTGAAAGTCACCTCTAAACCTTTTAAATCATTGCAAGTTGCTTCAATAAAATATCATACTTGGTAAAGATCAAAATGAGATTTTTGCAGATTTTGAGACACAGGATTGGTCGTGTCTCAAGTTTTTGAATGTGACACAACTTGGAAAACAAACTCCATTTCTTTTTTCAAGTTGCATGCATCTTTGCAGATGTACTTTTGCTTGTTAAAATTATTTTTGATGAAGCTTGCAGAACATCAGCATACCTGATCCAAATCACCAAAAGGGAATCATTTTTGCTGAACCATCTAGTAGCACACAGCCACTTCAGTTGCGAGTCTGGCCAACTTTAAATGACGCAAGAAGTAAAAGGAACCCCAGGATGTCAAATTGCAAATTTGGAAAACATCATTGCTTTCTCATAATAAAATATGCAATTCAAACTTTACACTAATTTATTTAAGGTAATAAACAAATCGCTTTAAAAAGGGGCCTTTAAAGTGTATTCCGTTAGTCAAAAAATCATTGCTTTCAAGGGGCCCCTTGCATCCAGGGGCCTCAGGTAATTGAATTTTAGAAACATCCATTTTATAAACAGAAAATATCAAATTTGTATGTTCATATATTTTACATCACATTTACAAAGTTGCAAATTTTCATGACAATTCATAGAGATATAGAACTATTTATGAATAAGTATCCCTTTAGAAAAGTTCAATTGTATTCTTAAAAGCTACGAAAGGCCACTGTTCTTGAATATGATATTAAGTAAATATAATTGACAAATAAACAAAAAATAAAACTCCAATATATTTAATGGTTTAATGGGTATTAAGTAATCAATGTTAATTAGTTAATGGTAGTTGTTTTTTGTCAATTGTGAAAAAAAATCCAATTTGTAGATTTGAATATTTAAATATTTAATTGGATAGGATCACACTCCCATGTTAAACAATTTTTAATGATATCAAGGAATATTCTCTTGAAAATTAGAACACAACCTTTTCTTAGAACAGCCTACAGAACATGAATGTGCTGATGACATGTTTACTTATACAATCAAACAGTGATTTGGCTGAAAACATTTGGAGTTGAGAATGTGTGAACCATTTTAATAGATATGCTTAATAAACTTTCGAGTGTTATTTTAGTCTACTACAAATTTATAGAAAGTTACAAAGCAAAACATTTCTGTATTCTAAACCGCTCACTTAATGCTTCAATGCACTTTAATATTTCATGTTTACAGCTTGCACTCCTACAAAGCAATTTTGTTACAGATTGCTTCTTGCCTGAATATCAATGAAACTGCATATCTCAAGTAAAAATTTCTTAAAGAGGGAAATTTTGAGCTAAATGTAAAATAGCTGGGAGGAATAACATCCACCTTATCACCAGGAACTAAGTTAGTGGAATTATAGGGCATTAAAAACACATTATATTTGCATCTTGTTATCACAAGTCAAATAAGGAATATTTTAATAGAGAAATATCATTCATGAGATTAAAGTAGTATGATTATTGGATATTAAAAAAATATAAAGGCATGCTTCTGTCTCTGGGGTTCTTCAAGTGCCAAATAGAAAATATAAAATTATTAATGATGAAAAAGTACTGGGAAGTTACTGGGAAAATATCATGAATATATTACCACTATTGGCATCCCAAGCAGTAATATGTCCATCATGCGAGCCAGTGTAGATTGTACTCCTGTCAGGACTCAGAGCCAACACAGTAATGGGCTTATTGTGACCCTGAAGAATATAAGAATATTTTCCAATGTTATTTCAACCTCACAGAAAATCTAGAAAGCAATTAAAATATATTCTAGCTTGTTACCTTAACAACTCTAAGTGGTTTATTAGGATTGTTCACATCAAGATAGGTAATAAAACCACCGACTGAAACAGTCAATAAATACTGACCCTGCCACAAGCATGATACCTGAGAATCAAAAATACAATATGTGTCATAGCGCACAAGAACATTCCCATCCATTACTAATACAAACATGCATAACATTACAATTGTGAGTTTCGAAACAGACCTAGGCAGGAAAAGAGCAGGAAATAGACAAGAGAATCTTTAAGAAGTATCATGAAAAGTAAACTCATCTGTAAACATTTGTTAATACATCTAACTACTAGTATTTTCTCAGGACCATTACCTGTTGATCTTCAACTTGGGATCCCATAACAAATTCAGAAATCAGACTTTTTGTCTCTACATCCCATAGCCTGCATGTCTTATCACCTGAAGCAGTCAGCAACTGTGTACCATCTGGTTTCCAAGCAACCTGCAAAATATTACAGTACAGTGCACAACTGAATTAAAAACTAAATATTACAAAAAGTTGGGCATGATAAAGATGACAATAAACAAAAGAGAGAAAAAAAGCTGCTGACAACTGATTGGAAAGCCAACCAAATCGCATAAAAAAGTATTTTTGCAATTAATAATGACGGAACAGAAAGTTCAACTATGATCAGGGGGAAAAATGCATTACAATGATATACTCAGTAATGTGCACAAATTGTACATATTAGAGTAAAAATGAAACTGAAAATTAATAAGATGAATTGAAATAAATAAGCTCAAATAAAACATCGAGTTTATGAACTCTGAATTTTCAGAGATGCAGATATTTTAATGTGAAAGAAATTTTATATTACAAGCTATTATCTCCTCTAAACACATTTGTATAAATGTAATTATTTAATAATTTTCTATCACAATTTTATTATCAAGTTCATACACAGACACAATCTTGGAACATTTCAAAACCTTTCCCATGGCCAACACCTGTTTTTTTTACTTAAGTAACATCGGAAAGATAGAAAAAAAATTAAGTGACATTGAAGTGTTAGCTTATAACTCAGAAGATTCTAATAATCTCTGAATCAATAAAAAATTGAAAAAAATGAAAATATACTCCACAGTGGCATATCTTTGCCTATTCCTCTAATGTCTCAATTTTCCTCACATGCCAGTCATGTCAAGTGTATCATAAAACATAGGAAATACACAATGAAAGTGATATGATATTCAACAGCTAATACTCACAGCATATACACCACCTTTGTGTGCAGGAGATCCAATCTCTGCAATCAGATCTGCTGAAGACCCATCATACAGGAACACTTTACCATCAAACCCAGCAGAAGCAAAATGACTACCACTAGGAGAATATCTTACAGCTTGCACAAAGCGAGTGTGTTCCTAGAAACATTACAAAACCATGGTAAACAACAAAAATCAATCAAATTAAATACTGCACTACTTTAGTTTATTACATATTAGTATTATGTGGCACTTGAAACACTGCCCAAAAGCCTCAATATAATCTCTCTACACATTTGGGTAAACTACAAACCTGCTTGGTCATTTTGAATTTAAAAGGAGGGCCTTCAAACACACCAATGGTATTATCTTCACTGCCAGTAATAATTCGGAATGGCCGTGATGGACGAAAATCACACGAGTTCATAGGTTTTGATTGGCCAGAAATTTCACCCACAGAAGTGCCGGTTTCAGCCATAAAAACATGGCCAAATCTGAACAGCACAAAATTGTCATTAACAATAAATTGATGGAATTTCGCGCAATGTACACACCATTCTCAAAAGAGTTTCAGTTATAAAGTTCAATCAATATATTAAAAAATGAAATTTTGCAAACACTGAATAAATTACAGAGCACAATAAAAAAACATGAATAAAATATATTTTTTATATAATACTTTTTTAACTTACTTCTCCTTACAAAGAACATAATATTGAAAAATAGAATGATAAATATTTGCAAATTTGTACTCAACAGAAATGAATTTACAAAAATCAAGGATAAACAACAATGATGCTACTGGATTTCAAAATACAATTCTTTTTAATAAGCAAGCATACCATACTAGAGGAAATTTACAATGAAATACAGGAGTTCTAGCTAAAAATGTGTCTCATTTCAAACAATCTTCTACTTATTAACAAAACTCTGACCATGTTACTTATAACTTTCAGACCAAGATTCGTCATTATAATAATAATTTGTGATCATTATCTAACTGCCAAGAAAACTGATTATTTGCTTCATTGATTACTTACACTGTAGATACTTTGTAATTTATTTGTTGTTGTTTCCTTTTCATTGATTTATTTTTTATCAAACCAAATATCTAATGTATCATTTAAATGATTATAAATTGTACTATAAATTTGATTTTATTGGACTTGAAAAATTACCTCTCTCTGCCTTCACCAACAACTACAATTCTTTGGCTGTCTGGTGACCAAGAAATATCTTTAATAGGTCCACCAATTGGTTGAAATTCATTTTTTAACAGATGTTCCTTGTTCACAGTATCCCAAATTCTGACTTTTCCTGATTGATCTGCAATAAAAAAAAGGTTATACAACCTTAAAATAATGTAGATATTCCATTACTTGTAATACATCGATGTGTATCAACTATGACAGCTTACCACCAGAGGCAATATAGAATCCACTAGGTGAATACTTAGCAACATTAGTAGCGCAAGAATGTTCAGTGTATATGTCAGAAATGGCCGGATTCTGAAACGTAGAGAAAACCAACATATGCTATTAATATCATTACATAAAATTGAGTGTATATACCATCTACCAAAAATCATATCAATTATGACCAAGAAGAATGACAACAGAAGACTGAATACAAAATTAACATACATGTTAACTGGTGATGAGTCAACAGAACTTTCTTTACTCACAGAGATACAAACATACATTGACACACACAAGATCTCATAATGGCTATAAATCAAAGTGAAAAGAAAAACCTTAAGATCGCCATAATTAACAGACTCCACAAACATAATTGCAAAAGGTTTCAATACATCTGTAGATACATCCAGGATTAATGAATTAACTAGACACTCAAGGAAACACCATCAATGGCACCACACACACTTTCCAGATTCATTAAAATGGATTTCCTGGGTAAGTGGGTAGCAACCTGGGATCAAGGAGGAAGAAACCACACAAACATCAGGCTATGAAATGTTAAAAAAAAACATCAAAAAGAAAATAAAATGGATCTATTTTCACAAAACTGGTACCTTACCTCTATATTTCTAATAATAACACTATTTCCATTTGTGTAAAGAAAATTTTTTCCCTTGGGATCACCTCCCAAAACAATAGGTTGACCACGCTGGGTTCTAGGCAAAGTGGCATAAATGCATTCTGAAACAAACAAAAGTATGATTAGAGATACTTGAGAAGACAAATTATTTATGGGTAATTAACATACCTTGTCAGGTACAATAATACTGTCTAATAATAAAATACTTCCCTGAAGAGAAAAACCATGAAGGAAAAAAAATCCACCATGCCCATTTAATTAAATAAATTTAATTTTACGACACAGAGTCCGAAGTAAACAACTGTAGTGAACATGAGAACCCTGTCATCTTATAACACCCTATTCTGAACAGGATAGACTATTTTCCCATATATTTCAGAGGCAAAAAAGGCATTACTGGAGCTGAAAAACGTCAGCCTCCGTGGGGAATTACATCGCCCTCGATACCGCACGTCAGATTACCAGAATACGTTTCAGAAATTTTATTACTGATGCCAACCAGATTGAAGACACACATTATGTATCACGACAAAAGCTGTAACTTTTATCACCGGAAATAGGTGAAGCAGTGGTATTAATATCAAAATGTCATATCCGAACAACACCGGCACAACAGGCTACATGTGTTTGTTTCAGAAGTTAAAAACAAAAAGGAAAAGAAAAGGTATATGAAACTCACTACTTGAATAAGACATCACGATGAAATTTAAATTCACAACTCAGGGTGTGTACTTCCACTCTTCTGCCAGATGTACCAACTAAATAACCCGATATTCTACGCCCACTTCCCGTTCGACCCCAGATCAGACGCGCCACCTCCTTCCCCTTATTAGGGAGAATGAAATGGTGTCATTTCCACTAGAGAGAAGCACTGATGCAAGAAGGGGGAGGGGAGAGAAGGAGAAAGACACTGGCTACATCACGCCGCCAATAAGCAGGCTGTTTTAGAGGCAGCGATTTCACGAACCTAGCGGTAAAATAGTGAACAAAAGCGCAATATTCAAATCAAACACATGTCGGTACAGAATAAAAAAAAAAAGAACTTTTAGAATCTTGTATTAAGCTGTTGTAATGTTACATTTTTGTTCCTCTAATTTGATTTGGCGAAGTGAATCAGTACACTAATGCATGCACGTCCACTCAACTGATTTTCTAAATATTTGAACTTTATGTCCAAATTTTGTTTACTTATTTCTCTCGTGTTGCTGAGTTAAAAAAGTCAAAACGTCTTTGGTTTCGACAATATTTTATTACTTTTGAAAATAGTCTACCAATTTTATACAAAAATGGTATGCAAAGAGAAATTTAAATTTCCACATATTTGCTTACACAACAGAAAAAACGTTTTTGTTTGTGTTAATAAAACTGTAATAAAATGTACTTTAACAGGAACATTGTTTTACAATAATAAAATAAACAAGTATTTTATAACCCTTAAATTTAAAACGTAAGCTATTACAATCAGCATGACACTTAATTTTTTTTTTTTAAATGTCAGTACTTAATCCCCTCATCTTTTATTACAAATGAGAGTGGAACTCGCAGAAGTTTAGTAACAGTAAACTCAGTAAAGTAGAGCGACACGACAATTTCGCAGCTGCACTGACTACCTTTGTGGACACAGACACGTGAATGAAAACAGAACCCAATCCACAAAGGATGGAGGGGGGGGAAGCAATTGCAGTTCATCATTTGGTTCAATTTCAGTCTCCCCCAGCATTCCCATTAATGACCACTAATACAGTTTCAGTTTGAATTTTAATGGAATCAATTATAGTAATAGTTTATCTTAAATGTTGATAAATAAAAATTTCAACAAAATTACTCATATTATGCAAAAACAATTGGAGTTTCGAATGTCAAAATCAACTTCAGAACCAAGGAAATGGTATTAAAAATGGGTTTAAGGGTCCTACAAACTAGGGTATGTCGACGTATCGTAAGGAAAGGAATTGTTCCGTTTCCAAAGTTCTGTTCCGCCACAAAGTCTGTCAGAACACCCAAATATCCCGTATTTTGCTTCGCTCCTTTTTTCGCTGTTGGGTGTCGCGACTAAAAAAAATCAATTATTCTCTAAGTTTTCTACCTAAGGTCATGCGACCTAGACAACGGTTGTATCTACACTCTTGCACACTGCACATTTCGTAGTTCCAAGGACACTTGGTTTGTTTACATCCTAACCACTCCAAACACTGATCTCAAGAAAAAATGTTGTTTTTTTTTCGCTTATAAATTGAAAATGGCTCATCATAGCAAAAAAAACTTACTAGTATATGGAAAATGAAAGCTGGCAAATACATTTTAAGATGCATTTACATATCAAATTGTACCATTTTTTGTCTAACCCCAATCGCTTTTGAGTTATTTGCTAGCGAAAATCTAAAATTAAAAAGAACAACTCTTTATTGCCATACGTATTTCAACAAACTTTGCATTCTAGTTCATCAGCCGGGAGGTCCTACGTTCGAGTCCCGACGGTGGCAGGATTTTCGACACTAGTTTGCTAGCAATGTCGAATTCAGTCTCTGTCTGTAGGAGAATTCTAGCGGCCAGCTTCTTTGCAGTTTTCCGTGGTTTCTCCGATAAACAGCAGAAGAATGCAGTACTGTAACAAACGGACCGCGTATGGTCTTTCCTTCTTTTTCCTTGCTATATCCTCACCCCTTACTTACTACACATCTGATGCTGAATTTTGTGGCTGAAGATCCAAAGTGAGATCAGTCGTAATTCTCGAAAAATTTGGTTGAAGAGACTAATCACTGTTCCTGGATCGTTCAATTCTCTAACATTATCTTTTAAGACAACATTGCCTGCTAGATTTCTAGTTAATGACGTATTTTTTATTATAATCCAAGTTGCTTTTGTTTTGTTATTTGAGTTTAAAATATCATGTTTAATGATTTTAACCTACCTTATGACTTTTTTAAACAATGATACGTATTTTTTCAAGTAGAGGTGGAAATCATGAGATACGAATAGATGTGTCGAATGACTCTTCACTTGACTCAAGCGGTGGACCAGAAGAGTTTAACCGTGAGTATCGGCCATACAGACACACGTTACCCAAAGACTTATAAAGGATTACTATTTATATTAATTCAAGTTTTGACAATAATGTGAGCAAAGATTCTTTTCTTCCTTACACAATTAAATTTTAATTTATATTAACAAATGATCAAGAAAAGTAGGAAACTGCTGGTGACGATTTCTGGCAAGTCATGTGAAAAGCAGTTTCCCTGATACCTAGAGCAAATGCTGAGATGGCCCTTGTTTTGCTTCTGGACGTAACTTCTGTATGCGTATGTTTGGTTGAACTCTCCTTTTGCTTATAGTGGTAGGAGTAGAGGCAAGGCCGAGTTACTATTTTGTTAGCAATGCAGAAAAATCAAATCTCCAGTTCATTTACCGTTGCAAATAAGTTTTCTATAACTCGGGAACAAAAATGTATAGTTTTTAAAATGTTGCTAATCTCGCGCTTTTTAATTTTAATTTTTATTTACTTATTTATCTTTAACTTTTATTTATATTTCCATTACTTATAGTTAAAATGATGGGAAGGGATTCTGGAACTCAAGAAACCGTGCCCCGATGATCTTCTCCCCCATACGTCACATAGTTTTTACTGTTTTTTGACTAAATCAATCAAGATCTCAAGTTCATCACACACATACACAAAGCTCATTGCATGAAGTAGAAATTGGAGTGGTAGAGATAGTGTTAGTAATAATGGTACTCGTATTGATAGTGGTAATGATCGTTACTAGCAGTAGCGGCTGCGGCCGATGCGGGTGCGACAGCGGCAGTAGCGCCTGCAGCAGCAGCAGCAGTAGTAATAGTCGTAGTCGTATCAGTCGTTGTCGTTGTAACCGTCGTCGTAGTAACAGTCGTCGTCCTAGCATTCTTTTTAAGATCTTTCTTTAAAATCATCTTATTCTATGTAGTTTCTATGAATTCTAAATGTTCTATGCCTTAACTTGACAAGCAGCCCTAAGCTATCACTTAACCGCAAACCAGCTTTTCTACTGGTCGAAGAATCAGCGTTGCATCACAATAGAGTATTTGAATAGAACTCTTCAGTGTGAAGATGTGCAGTGTTTATTTTTGCTATTCCGTCACTGGTGGCTAGACCACTTCCCGTGCACCAATCGAGACGTATGAGGTGCCATTCGACGTGTCTTGGTCTCCTGATGGGGAACTGATCATTTGTTTTAGGATCTCGCTGGATTTAAATAAATTTCCAAAAACGTGTTTTTTCGTATTTTGGCGCTGCAACTTAATGACAATCCCAGGAATTAAACGAACGCCTCCTATCCTCCCAATCGATCTATGTAGGTGGCGTTCATTAAATACCAGAAGCCTAGGGCATTTTTTGCTTAATACATCATTTTCTTTCACGACGTTGGCAACACTGAAGTTGACATTATTAAGTAAACAATTGAATTACATCGTAAATCGTTCTGCAGTTTGATATCAATTGAGAGTCGAAACATCGAATTTAAAAAAATAAATTTGCGAATACCTACGAACAGTATTGCCTCGGAACTTATTGAACTTGAAGAATTTCAAGTGAATAGGGAGAAAACAAAACTGTGAGTAATGCTGGAGAATAAATAAACGTTATGTTCGACTTCGTACTTATACGTTCTTACATAAGTGTGCAACTATTGATTTTCAAATGAATGAGACCCACAACTTATTCTTCTTCAAATTAACTAACATCTTATTCATATACACATACAAAACAGTCACCTTTTAATGTTATATTCGCATTCAAAACGATTAATCGAGCAATTGTAGAAGTAGAAGTGAACATAAATTAGACTGAGTTAATGAAGTTTTAATCTCTTAAAAATTAGAGGAGAAAATATGGAAGTTTTAGGGAAATCAGTGTAAGAATCAAATGTAAAAGATGTTGAGATAGAATTTTCGGAACTAATTGGGAATGATCTGCATTTTTGCATTTAGCATTCGTGCTAATGTAAATGTGCTATGTGCATTTCTGTGCATGTTACCAAAAAAAGCGTAAAAATGAAGCTGTACTAAAATTTAACTATTGACATCAAAACCTCAAAGTATTTGTTACGGCGATTATAATTTAGAAATTGCAATAACACCATATTCATATCCCGTATGGAGGTAACACACAAGGCCATTGGTATTGGAAACTTTTGAATGGGAGTATAACATTATCAGGTACTACGTACGATTCATAAGTAGGTCCAATGCCAGATACTGAAAGAACATATTTGAACAAAGTTTGGCATGAAAGAAATGAAGTATGAAAGACATTTGCAAAACACATGAAACTATTTTTAAAACAGTTTACAGCGTCCGCAACGCCACATTTTGCTAGTTTTCAGTATTTGGCATGCGTCATACAAACTTCCGCGATTCCGAGATTATATTTTCTATCATCAAAAGGTGTCAGAATTCAAGACGTGTCAGTAATTATTTATGCTTCAAAGAAAAAGCTAATTGAGGGGGCTCAGGGCATCAACTGATGTCACTGCTGTGCCTCTGACAAGGAGATCCTAGGTTCGAGTCCCTACGGTGGCAGGATTTCCGACAATAGCAAGATAGCTAGGTCGAGTTCTGTCGCTGTTTGGGTGGGAATTCTAGCGCCCGGCTGCTCTGACCCGTTTTCCATTGTTTCTCCGATGCGAAAGGCACTACTACCCTACCAAACGGGCCACGGACCACGCGCGATCTTTTCCTCCCATTCCTTACACACTTACATCTACATGCACTACACTACCACACATGCCGGAACATGTCCCGGCTGGGCGGTGCCCCGCTGGTGGAATATACATGGTTTGGACAAGCCCGCTAGTCGGGGCCGGATCTAACACTTACGGGACTAATGACCTTAGCAGTTGACTCGTCGTCGTCGTTGTCGTTGTCTTTGTCGTTGTCTTTGTCTTTGTCTTTGTCGTTGTCGTTGTCTTTGTCGTTGTCGTTGTTGTCGTTGTCGTTGTCGTTGCGTTGTTGTCGTTGTTGTTATTGTTATTATTTCGATTTTTCACATTTTCTCTTCTTTAGCAGGGAAAACTTTCACCTGTCCAACTAATGTTATAGGACTAAGCTCGGACTGCGCAGGAAGGAAATTCATCCTGACCTACATGAAAGTAGGTCATTTAAGAATGTAGGTCATTTAAGAATTTTCTGCCAATATGACATATTTGAAGGAGGGTGAATTTCTGGGCTTCGTCAAAGATATTTATGATATCTAAATTCTCCAGACTTCTTTTATAGTTCCTAGAGATAACTCCTTCAACTCATATGACAGTGGAGAAATGGGAGACGTCGTATACTCGTAACTTCCAAATGATTTTTTAATTCATTTGCCAAGTTCTCATATTTTCTCAACTTTTCCGCTTCGGACTTCGCAAGTTGTGAGTCAAAGGGATTGCAACATTGATTATAGAAGCTGTTTGTTTTTCTTGGTCTTTTATGAGGATGTCAGGGCGATTATGATCAACCGTTTTATCCGCCATAACAGGCCGATCCCAGTATAAGACGTGCGTATTCGTCTCGAGCACAGCATACTTGTAGTATGCTGGAGGATTATTCCGCAGCATTCCAAGTTTCATTCCCAGTTCGATGAACGAGTTTTGCCACTTGGTTATGTTTGCCTAAATAGACACTCTCTGAAAAAGAACTGCTCCCAGCCATTATGTGCTCATTAGATTCCGTTGTTACCACATCGACAACATTTGTCGATATCACATGTTTTTAAAATATGTTTCTCATTTTTTTACTTCTTATTACTCTATCCTGAATTGCTGCTACAAAACCTTCGGTTTCCAGGTACAAGTAACCATTGCTCAACCCCTTTAAAGATTTTATTATTATTATTATTATTATTATTATTATTATTATTATTATTATTATTATTATTATTGTTGTTGTTGTTGTTGTTATTATTATTATATTTACACTTAACAGAATGATTTTAATATCTCATAATAGAAAAGTAGCAAAACTCTGTGATAGAATGAAAAAAAACTTGTGGTGCTACACAATGGCACAGACTTTCCCGTATTAGGTTTCTATTCCTTTGGTCTCGGCTAGCCACACAAACTTGCCACAAACTCTTCTTGCTGCCATATATCGCCGCTAAAGTACATTTTTTGAAATTTTCTTAATTTTTTCGGTTTCTAATAGTAGAACGGAAATATTATTTTTAGAATATTAAAGAACAGTAAAACATCGTCCTAAATGTCAATTTCCTTTGAAAAATTTGGAGCAGTTTTTAAGAAAATGGCGCTTAAGTGCTACTGTAATTTCGAAATTTGAAGCTCTTTTTGAGTTTTCAAAAAACTTCATTTGAAATTACTTGAAGCACATTAACTCACAAATAAAATAGTATTTACAAATTACTAGAAATGTGCATATTAACGGTGTGAGAGATATTTAAAAAAAATACAGTTAAGTAATTTTTGAAAAAACAAAAATTCCGCGAAATGAACATTAAGTCACAGCATGAAATTAGTACTATCCGTTCGAAAAGTTTGAAGAAAATATCTGGAGCCGTTTTTGAGAAAATGGCGTTTGAGCGTTTCTGAAAACGCGGAATTTTGAAATAGTTTTCGAGAAACCTTTTATGACATTATTTAAAGCACATCTACTCATAAACACAATAATGTCAACAAATCGCCGCTAACGTAAATATTAACGACCTGAGAAGCAAGTCAAAAAAATTACATTTTTGTAATTATTGAAAAAACAAAAGAATCGAGCAATATGGCGTCTATGTCATCTTATAGATCACTATCACATTTAGCACTATCCCGACCAAAACCTTAAAGGAAAAAAATTGGAGCCGTTTTTCAGAAAAACTTGTTTTTGTAATTTTTTAAAATTATTGCTCGCAACTTCTAAAATTTCGAAACATGTAAGAACTCAGTATAGATAACACATTTTATTGAAGGAAAAATCTGTATCTTCAATTTTGTAGTTGTAAGAAAACATCCGAAAAATTCGAAATTTTCAAAAAATGCGAAGTTAACAGTGAAAATCGGTCCTATGCCACCTTTATAAGTGTATTTTGGTGTATTCTTACAAGAAATTTAAAGAAACAAATTGGAGCCGTTTTTGAGAAAATTTTGAAAAATCCCGGAGGGTTTCATGTGAAGTACCCCCAAATTTTAAAGATTTTTCTTTTCAAAATCTCAAAAATTCGCCAAAAATCAAGTCAGATTGACACGGGTTCCTTCAATTTGGAAAAAATCCTACGCATGGTCTAGGCGCTAGTAGTTTTCACAGACATCAAACGGACGGACAGACCGACGGACGGATGGACAGACTGGACGTTTTGAAAAACCACTTTTCGGTGTCTGGGACACCAAAACGTGTATATCCGTTGAAATCTCGAAATCGATTATCCGCTGTATTACATAACTTTCCCTATACTACGTATATTACTCCGTATATACGTGCGTATACTACGTATACGGGAAAGTAAAAAATGGCGTCGTAAATATTGATAATTCCATAAAGTCCATCCAAAGCGGCTGAGGAGAAATGAGCCAAATCATGCTGCTGCATCGCGTGCCGACCTCCCGTCGGAGGCGCGGAGCAGGAAGCTTGGGCGTGGGGTGTGGCCGCGCGCGGCGAGTGAAGGGCATGGGGCCTTATCTGCAGTGACGTGAAACCTGCCTGCTATACCTGATTGCGTGATCAGGGACAATTTGATTTATGAATCAGTTTGTTGGCACACCAAATATGGAAGTGGGGCGTGTCGGCGAAGTTGGCTATGATAGGAAACCTTTTTCACGGCGAGTATAGTCAAAACTACACTTTAGGGACAATCATGAAACGTATTTTTCCTGTGATAATGTAAACATTCTCCATGCAATCGTCCGTGACAAAAAAAACGGCGAATTTTTGACAAAACTCATGTTATAGGGAATTCTTATAGAGCTAGTGGTGCTCCAAGAGCACATACATTCTCCCATTAATTCTAACGGCTTCGCAATATCGTACAACTACATAAACCTGCAAAACTGTATCCTACCAGCACAATTTTTTTCTCTGCACTGAGATTCGCACTCAGGTCTATGGGGTAAACTCACCACGCCGTACTCACTTTGCCGTCGCTTAAAAAATAATGGCTATCTCGCATTATTTTTAATTCACAAAATTTACATTATTCGAAATTTATGAAACGAAAATGAGATCTGTCCAATTTTCTTATTTCCTGCGATATTTTCCCCAATAAAGGATTATTCCAAAAGTTTAAAGAAACAAATTGGACCCGTTTTTGAGAAAATGTCTTTTTTATAAATTGCATTAACTTAAAGCAGAAAATACGCGAAAACTACTAGTTTTTTACAAAAAGCTGTACAGGATCGTTTTTAAAGATATGATTTTTACAACAGATTTGATTAAATTAAAAACATTTGAGCCGATACTTAAAAAACAAATTGTCTCTCCCAGTATTTATAAGAAATCCAACTTTCGAAAATTTAGAGAGTTCAACAATAATGACGTCTGCGTCATGATTTAAGCGTCCTTTGCACTATCCGTGGAAACATTAAACAAAACATGTGACGGCGTTTTTGAGAAAAATATTTTAATTAGATCGCTGGTGAGGTAAATACCGTCTAAAAATTAAATACGGAAAATTAAAGATGTTTTCTAGAATCAAAAAATATATTATGCTAACAAGATAAAGGATTATCCAGGGCCCTCTAACGGTAAACTTGTTTCTTTTGATGTGGCATTTGACAGCAGGAATATTCTTAAAGACCAAATTGACAGATCACAATGTGGCGTCCCCATCAAAACTGAACTGAACAATCTAATTTCCTGTTGTATAGATGCCAACTATTTCAAATCAATGCCAAATTTTACACGCAAGATTCTGGATTTCCCATAGGTTTACTCCTCTCACCTTTATTAGCTGATATATTTATGGACAATTGGGAAAATACGCTGTTTGATTCTGGGCATCCACTTCTAAAAAATCTCCTTCACTGGCACAGACGTGTTGGCACCATGGATAGGCACCACCAGACAACTTGACAGCTTTACACAATACATCTACACCCCAAACATAAAATTCGTGTACACCCCTAACTCCACTCACATTCGCTCGCCCGCCCGACCCCTCCTCACGCCTACACCAGCACCCCACCCCCTCAAAACCCTTCGCCCACGCCCCACCCCTCTTACCGCCACCACACGCTGTCGACCGACGCTCTGTTCTTAAACAAGACACACTCTCTAAAAACTGCAGAACTTAGTTTTCGGCCTGGAAGCTGCAAGGTATTTACAACCCAGTTTACTTACACATCTGGCATACAATGTCAATATTTTGTATATAATATTTTGTACTATCTTATAATTTATGTTTTAATGGAATTCTATTTCTATAATTTTAATTTCAGCTCTGAAGATGGTCGCTAAGCGGTCGAAACGATTTTTAGCATAATATGTTTTTTGATACCAGTCATCATCATTAATTTACCGTATTTAAAAAATCTTGTATAAATTCTATTAAATTGAAGCAGAAATTACGCGAATACTTCCAGTTTTTCAAAAAATTGTCCCTGAACTTATATAAAAATCTTATTCTTTTCATCAGATTTTATGAAAGAAGGAAATCCTTAATATCATTATTGTATTTTAGCAATGTTATTTTTTCGTTAAGATCGCTATGATCCCGTTATTATCAAAGGTGCACCCATGGCGCTTTCCACTCCCCCACAGAAACCAATCGTGTATATTAAAAAATAAAGCTTCTTACTAATTTTCTCTATTAATGAAAGTCATTCAATGTATCAATGGTTAATGTAATAAACATTAACTATAAATCATAAAATAAATATACACATACATTAAGCACATCTGAAAAATTCTTAATAAGAAAACAAATCAGCTGTAGCCCCCCTCTCCCCCGGAGAGAAATTACGAGTGCGCCTCTCGCAATGATACATTTGGTTTCCAGGCGGAATTCAGAGGGCAACTGCCCCCGCCCCAATGTTGGGACAATTTTTTTTTAATTTCAGACTGCTTAGACCCAATTTTTCAATACTTTTGTATTTTTTCTTTGTTAATCATTTTTAATTATTATATTTAACACAAATCACAAATAATATTTTTTTTAAATTGATTCACGTTACATTGCTGTATGGGCTACTTGAACCCACGCGATGTTTTCGTACATAAAACCACGTCCTAGTCCATGTGTTCCTAGGTTTTCTTCTACAAACATGAATCTCAATATACTACAACACGAAGAACACAGAACTTCAATATTGGAAATACAATTTTTATTATCCAATTTTTTATCGGTAACAGTTAATGCCTAAAAGCTATTTGCGCCCATTCTCGCCCTGAGAGATTATCTTCGAAAACTGAAACAGTTCTGCCACCCATAAGAAAGTAAGACTTCACCATAAATCTGAAATCAAGTTCATCAACAGAAAATCTGAAATTACTGTTTGGCCATAATGTCTTGTAAAGACTAATTTTTCGTCTTCAGTAAACATTTTTGAATGGCACGATTTCTGAACGTATTTCTTCTTTCGTCCCCTTTTTATAGTCTATCGACATATTAGTCGATCGACGATGAAAGAAGCTTCAG